CGGCCAGGGCTCTGCGGGCTGCGGGCTGCAGCCGGGGGTGGCCGCTGGCCGGGCTGTGAGCGGCGGCGTGGAGAAAGCGGCGTGCGGGGCGCCAGGTAGGGCCGGGGGCGGGTGGGTAATGGTCGGCGCTGCACAGGGAGCGGGAGCACAAGGTGGAGCAGTAGATCCGGGAGGGGGGGCGCAGGCCTGGGAGCAAAAGCCAGAGTAGCGGATCGAACGCGCAGCCGGGAGCGGGAAGCACAGGAGTGCATTGGGGCAGGGAGCGGAAAACGGAGCACTGTACCAGACAGGGAGTACAGGGCTGGGAGCGGGAAGCAGAGTAGCAGGTTATCAGGGAGTGCAGGGCAGAGCAGTAGATCAGGAGGGAACGCGGGGCCGGGAGCAGGAAGCCGCGCAGTAGATCGGGCACAGGAAAGGGCTTGGAGCATCGCTTGGACAAAATGTAGGGTTCATTTATGGGACACCTGCCGGAAAGGCTGGTTGTCAGGGCCCCTGTGCCCTACAGGTGCATGATGCAAGTTCAGAGCTGGTCAGTTTTGTGTGTGGTTATTCTCCTTGGATGAATGAGTCCAGAACAATTTGTAAATGGGCTTATTTAATCTGGCTGCATAGAAAAACCTTGCGGTTTACCTTAATGTTAGCAAAACTGGGTGAGATCATGGTAAGGACAGAGAACAAATGGATCTTTATCCCTTGTGACAGGTCTTTGTTGTCACACTGTCGTATCACAGGAAGCCTGTTTTTATATATTTTAATTTTTTCTCTCTCAAAACCCTTATTGCCATGGTAGCAGACATCTCTTCATTATAAGCATCTTAGAACAAGAAAACTGAATATTTTTACAATAATCATGAAAGTGCTTCCTATTAAGTCACTGTTCGCTTCTGTTCTAGGTCAAACGCTTTCCAACTTCAACATTGATTTTGTTGTAAACTTACTGAGGCAGGAAAATGCCAAAGACATTTGTGTCATTCAGGTGCCTCCAGAATTTAATTACAGTGACTACTTTATAATTGTGAGTGGAACTTCTACAAGACATGTCCAGGCAATGGCACAATACTTGGTGAAAATGGTAGGATGCTTACTTCTATGTCTCTCTTAATCTGAAACATAGTCTGTGAAGTTAAATTGTCTCATTTTTGCAACCTGAACAGAATGCCAAGCAAGGAGAGGTTTAATATTGCTCATATGGCCCATAGCACAAAAGAGTAGCTAGAAATATGCTCTCTCAGCGTAAATTCTGAGAGAAAGATCTCTCCGTACCTGGAGGTTGTAATGCAGAGTTTGGGGGAATAAAAAATTAGGACTTTCAAAACCGAGAGGATAGTGCAAGTGACTTTGGGGTTATATATGATATTTTATAATGGTGAAAGTAAAACTTAGTTGTATATGCTAAGAAAAAAACAGCGTACTGCTATGAAAAAACATAGTACCTAATAAAAGGTCTGATCTTAAATACTGGATTTGGCTGTCCCTTTATTTTTCCTGCAAGCAAACAGGATCCAAAGATCATCTGGGGAAAGGGCAGAAATTAGTGTGGAAAGAAGGAATGCCAGCATTATGGAAATCCTGGGAGACTGACACTCAATGTGGCTAGGGAGGGAAGTGTTCAGGCCAGACATGTAACTGTTTGTATTATACTTGCACTTGTAAAAGTTGTTGAGTAAAAGTCTTGCTTTCCCTGTATTCGAAATGGACGTGTCCCTCACCACCTGGGACAGAGGCCTGCTTTGGACTGATTACCAGTTTGAAAGCCACTGGGTACTTGGCTTCTGTTAGGCTGTGATGGGGTGGGAAATTTTAAGAGGCCATATCTGCTTGTTGTGGGGTGCAGGTGAATGCACCCTGATAATACCTTGTGATAGAGACCTGTGAATGTAGACCTAGTTCCTAGCTCCAGTAACACCTGTGCAGGGTACTGACATGGCTCAAAACTACAGCTTAGGTTCCTTTTTTCTTTTTTTTACATACATCACCTTACACAGTGGGCCTCTAGTACATGAGTAGGGCACATCGGTGCTATTATAACATTAAATGTAGTGGGTTAACTCTTCTGATTGCTTTACATAATTACAATACGCAACTTCTCTGCCTTTTTTTCATGAGGAGGTCTAAAAACATTTTAATGTGAGACTAGTGGTTCTGCAGATTACTTTGTTAAAGATACACTTGTGTAGTTTCTCATAACAACCATATCCTACCCCCTGCCTCATGTGATGATTTTAAATTTAGTGAGGAATACTTATGCAGCTGATAGAAATCATAGGTAAATTTAATGGAAAAGATCTAGCTAGCTGCTGGAAAACCATGCGTTAGAACCTTTGCTTGTGAGAGTTAGCGCTGCATGGCTGGAGAAAAAGGGTGAGCAGCAGCAGACCTCCTTTAGTTGGAATTGGGCTTATTGGTTTCTTGCAGCCCACAACTACTGGAGTGTGTAGAAAAGACACTTTCCCTCCGCTCATCATGTCTGACTCCTGTGAGCTTTTGCTCTGCCCTTGTTTTCCAATGCAAAAACTAAAGATCATGTTGATATATACCTGTAGTGATATAGGTCTGCCCAGAAGACTTGCAGAGGCAAAAACTGCTCTAGGAGCACACCTGTTTATTAGAAGTGCATTACCAAGAAAGCACAGCTGCTTCTGTCTGCTGGGGTGTGCTCAGCTATTCTGTTTGTGTTCTGCAAGCTTGTGGCTCATTTCTTTGCATTTGCTGCAGTGTCCTTCCAGTGCTCGGGTTTATTTTTTGAATGTAAACTTGGGCCAAGATTTCCCTTCTCTGTTCCCATATTCATGTACATGTTGTCTGTACATTTGGTGGGTTTCTCAGAAACTGTTCTTCTCCATTTAGGTTTTTTTTAAAAAACTAGAGGACCCTTCATACCATGCCTGCACTTCTGTCTGAATCTCTCTTGCATTCTCTAGCCTTTTACTGATTGACTCCTTGTTAGATTTCTTTCCTCTCCTCTTTTTATAGTCCTGTAGGTTTTAACCTTGAGGTCTAGAGGAGTTGGAAGGAAGTTGCAGAAGAGGAGGAAGTCCCTGCTAAAGCCTTTAGAAAGATTTCAGGTACCACTCTCTTAGCTGGCCTGAAATAGAGTGAGGATCCTGATCTCAGGAATCCTGGAGAAGAGCCTGACATTAGTGATCTCCTTGTAAAAATCAGGAAGCTTAATAAGCCTGAGACTGCTGTTTGAGGCAATAGGGGCCAGAGCACTTATTGCAGACAAGGTGGCTGTGCACCAGTTAATGTCTAGAACTTTAATGTTGTATATGCTATATAGACACC